CTCCGATAAGCGCTGCCTCGTGCGACTTTTCTTTTTTCGTGATCTTTTCCTTTCGAGGCGCGTTGCTTCGTGCAACTTCATCAATTTAAACCATAATTGATTGTTTCGCATCGAAATTATTGCGTCGATTATGGCGACGATAAATCCTGAAAAGGCTGCTCAAGTTATTGCTTTAATTGAAGATGGTAGAAGTCGAAGGTACGTTGCTCAGGCACTTGATTTGTCAGTGTCAACTGTGCAACGTGCTTATGCCAGGTACTTACAAACCAATTCTTTCCATAGAAGGCCTGGTTCGGGACGTCCTCGATGTACCAATCACAATGATGACCGATTTATTGTTTCAAATTCGTTAAGAGACAGACATCGAACATCTGTTCAAATTAGAAACAATTTAAGGGATGTCCGCAACATTAATGTATCCGTTAACACCGTTCGGAGAAGATTAAAGGAACAAAATCTGCTTTCGCGCAGGCCAGCAGCTGTACCTTTGCTTAAATGTCACCATCGTGTAGCTCGACTCAATTTTGCAGTTGAGCATAGAGACTGGACTTACGCAGACTGGAGCAAAGTACTCTTTAGCGATGAATCTCGTTTTTGTGTCTATTCTCCAGATGGACGAGAACGAGTTTATCGTCGCGGTGGAGAACGATTTGCAGACTGTACGGTAAGTGAGAAGCATAGCTACAATGGAGGCTCTGTAATGATTTGGGCAGGAATTTCAGCTAATGCTCATACAGATCTGCACTTTTTTGACAAGAATATGAACGCAGATGTATACGTGGAAGACATACTCATTCCGTATGTTGTTCCGTACGCACTCTTCATCGGACAGAACTTCTTGTTTATGCAAGACAATGCTCGACCATACACTGCGAGAAGAGTGCTTGATTTCTTCGATGAAGTTGGCACAAATCGACTCGATTGGCCAGCAAATAGTCCAGATTTAATCCAATCGAACACTTATGGGACAACCTCGGCAGGAAAGTACGAAATCACGTACCTGCTCCTCAGTCACTGCGAGAACTGCGAATAATTCTCGAAAACGAATGGAATACAATTACGGAGGATGAAATTAAAAGACTAATAAGGAGTATGCCTGATCGTATGAATGAGGTAATACGCGCACGAGGCAGTCGAGGTCATACCCACTATTAGTACACACACACCACACACAGCAGAGAGGGTTTGAAGTCATTAATTACTGCAGGAGTGACGAACTGCGGGGTCCTTATCTCTGCTGTAACACCACACACACACACACACACACACACACACACACACACACACACACCACAAGGAGGGTGTGAAATCTTGAAATACTGTGGAGCTGACGAACCACGGGGTGCTTATCCTTGTGGTACACACACACACACACACACACACACTACATACAATGGGACTTTTCCTACCAGTAAAACTCCAAGCGGTTTATATTGGGAAGACTTACAACCATAATTTGAGCTAATGACAGCGGTATCTTAAAACGCAATTCATCTTTATTACGTAATATCGATTACGCAAAATGAAGAACCTAAATTGAATTTTACTTTCATTTCCCTGGCTTTCAAAATAATAAATGCAAATCATTGAATATATTGTGCTGGTTATGTAAATTATTATATAGAGAAACATGAACACAGCTATTGAAATTATGAAAGAGCCAAACGAACCGCAGAGCCTCTTAGCCCCTTAAGCCTCGCTGAATCGACATTTGTTGCAAATTCGAAATTGAATATCTCGACACCTAAATATCCTAGCAGCAAATTTCAAAAACGGTTTGAAAGCTTTGAAACCGTACTTTTCGAAAGATCTATCGAAATTGTGCGCAATGATATTTTTTCAAAATGGCGGGTGATAAAAAGGAGAACATGAAAAGTTGCTAAAAAAAGGTTCGAGCGTGCGACGGCGCATGGAGCAAAGTAAGTGTCGCAGCTCAATGGGACGAAAAGTACCTAAAAGTATAGAATGTTTTCTTTAAAATACTTCGTTATAGAGCTTGATGCGATACTTATTCACTGAATTATGCAAATTTAACAAGAAAACCGCATTTTTAGCAAAATTTGGAACAACTCAGTGAAAAATGATCACATCGAGCTCGGTAAAGTAGCATTTTAAAGATAACACTCTATACTTTCATGTGCATTTGGTCCCATTACGCTGCGATACCTGATGCACGCCATCGCAAACACGGACCTTTGATTATCAATTTTGCATCCTCTCACTTTATCATCCGCCATTTTGAAAAAAATGGCCGAGCATAATTGCCATTCAGATATTCTTAAAGAGGACGTTTGAAGTTTCATTTTGCATTTCTGCGCATATTTGTATCTTCATTATTTACCAAGTTATGATCATTTGAAATTTTGTAATTTTTTCCAAAATTTTTAGTGTACCGGGTTTTTTGCGTTTGAGTGTAGATAGTAGTCAGATGGGGCAATGTCAGGAGAATATGGAGGATGAGGAAGAACGTCCCATTCGAAGTTTAACAGCTTCCTACGGATAGACATTGCGACGTGAGGTCTGGCGTTATCATGATGCAAAACAATTCCACGCCTGTTGGCCAATTCAGGGCGCTTCCGTGCGATGGCAGTCGTCAGTTCATCCAGTTGAAGGCTGTACTTCGCCGCGTTGATGGTTTCGTTTGGTTGAAGAAGCTTATAATATACCACGCCCTTAAAATCCCACCAGATACTCAGAAGAACCTTTTTCGCGTGAAGCCCCGGCTTGGCTACTGTTTGCGTAGACGCGTCGCTGGTTCCCCACGACCTCTTGCGGCTAACATAATTGTATAGGATCCAACTTTCATCGCCTGTTATGATCCTCTTCAAGAACGGTTCTTTTTGGTGCCGTTGAAGCAGCATATCGCAGACGTTCACACGTTCCAGCAATTGCCGTTCATTCATTTCGTGTGGCACCCACACATCCAGTCGACTTGAGAATCCTAGCTTCTTCAGATGGTCATGCACGGTGGAAACAGACTTGTGCAGAGTGTCGGCAAGTTCTTTAACTGTCACTTGAGGATTTTTGTGCACGAGATCCATAAGAAGCGTTTCATCAACCTCCTGAGGCCGGCCTGAGCGAGCTTGATCTTCCATGTTGAAATCGCCAGCTTCGAATCTTCGATACCATTTTCGAACTGTCTGGTGAGTGACGCAGGCATCTCCATATATTGAGAACATCTCATTCAGAGTCTGCGAAGCCGTGAAGCCACGTTTAAAGTAATATAACATCACATGACGAAAATGGACTTTTTGGTTCTCCATTTTTCAAACTGATTTCTGACGAAATAGTTGCAGTTAGGAAGATCTGCGAAGTTTCTTTAGCGGGCTCATAGATCCTGGAATGTTTGTTGACAAACATAAAATCGTTCAGAGCGCCCTCGTTCTTACTGATTACATAGAAATGTGGAGCGCGCGAAATTTGAAACGAACTTTCCGAACAAGCTAATACATACATGCATACAGGGTGTCCCATTTTAATCCGGCCGGCTGAATAAAATTCGAGGATGATATTTTCCAGAAAAGAATGTCAGACAAATGTTGCTCAGTTCTAAGGGGGACATTCGATGCCATCGACAATTTTGACTTCGGGTGAAGAGTTCAAGATCATTCAAGGTTAACTTTTTTTCTTAAATAGGAACTCCTATTTTTCACATCGGCAATCGATTCTACGTAAAACAATGAAACTTTGGTCTGAAGCATTTTTTTTATAACGCAAACTAATTTCACTTATTCAGCCTCCAAAATTGAAATTTTCAAACTTTCTGAATTTTTTACTCGAGAATGGTGGGGTTTGGGGGGAAATTGCAGAAGACAAAAAGTTCTTGGAATGCTACAAGGAATTCACTCGAATTTTCGCATAGTTGATCGTGTACTTTTTTCCGCCAATGTTTGGAAAGAATCTTTTATCTCATGTTCAGTACCCTCGGCATTAGCATCACCCGATGTGCACCACGTGGAGGTCGTCGATGGGATTTTGCACATCATTGGCCCTGAAAAAGGCCGATTGATTTATTATTGAACTCGATCTATGATATCAAGTGCTCAATCTGGTGCCCATTCTGTGCAATGCACATTTGCACCCTCTGGCGAAAGAGGGGGCTCTCATGAAGCCCCACGCCTAAGTACCGCGCTCCTCCCAGATTGAGAGTCAAAGGTTCGGTGTCCCGGCCGGTAGTCCGGCCGGGTTGGCCTTCCGGTGTTAATTAGGAGAGAAAGGACACCCATCCTCTCTCCTCGCCCCCGCCTTCCCCCTTTCCTACTGGGTGGGAGTGGCCCGGCCCCAACCGGTCCTCGCTCCCCTTCTCCCTGCCATCACCGACGCTCGGAGTGGGCGAGAGGGCTTACCCCTTCTCTCACCCACCCCTATCGGTACGTCGAAGACGGGCTCTAGGCGGTCGAAAAGGCAGCCTCCGACGAGCCGGTGGCCTCTCCTCCTCGGCTGGCGCCACCTCGGGCCCGCTTCCCACCCCTGAGGAGCGCCGCCCTCGTCGTCGCTCTCTGCGACCGACTCCTGGGCGACCTCCTTGCGGGACATAATGTCCCGGCAAAAGGAGGCCGCCGCTCCCCAAACCTCCTCGCTTCCGCCCATTGCTTTGAGCACATTGCGGGAGCGAGAGGGCCTCCTCTTGACACCCCACTGCCCAAGCGAGGTCACGGCGTTGCAGAGCCCTAGCCTGGCACACGGCCAGGGTGTGCTCCGCCGTGTCCTGCGGCTCCGGGCAGTGGTGACAGCCCGTGGTGGGCTCCCTTCCAATCCGGTGCAGATACCGACCGAAGCACCGTGCCCGGTAGGAGCATATGGAGCAGGTGGAGCACCTACACCATATGGAAGGTGAGCCCGTGTCCCCGCCTGTCTACCATTTCTGGCAAACAGGGTCGGACGACCTCGGCCATTCGGATTCCGAATCCTTTGGGGTCAGCCAATATGGGTGACCACCGTTCCAGGACTCGGGACCTGACCTGGGATTCCAAGGCCCTCAGGTCCCTGGCCGATGGATCTTAGCCCTCCTCGCGGAGCTCCATCACCCTCCAATAGAGAGTGTGTCTTGATTCGGCAAGGAGCTCCACGGGGGCGGGAGCCGGCCAGGGCTGTCGCCGCCCTATACGAGATGGTGCGGTACCCCCGATTCGCCTTCACGACCACCGACCGCATCGCCTGTTGCAGGCGACTCTTGTTGCGGGCGGTGGCCATAAGTCGGGGCGTCCATTTGGTCGCCCCGTAGAGAGCGATCCAAAGCACCACACCAATATAGAGGCGGCGAGCGTGCCATCCGGGGCCCCCCTGGATCCTCATCAGGCTGACCAATGCCAGGCCTGCTTTACAGACCCGCGGGGCCAGGCTCCTGAAATGGGCCTCGAAATTCCAGCGGCCGTCCAACCTCAGGCCCAGATATTTGATCGTGGGCCCAACGCGGACGCGGATTCTATCCACCAGGAGTCGGGATTCCGGTGGCGCTCCTCGACGGGGAGCATGAAAATACATGGCCTCCGTCTTCTGGAGCGCCACTTTCAGTCCCAGGCCCTTGATGATGCCCACCACAGACTCCAGCGCCGCCTCCACTCGAAGGCGAGCTTCCTCCCAGCCTCTCCCCCCGGCTACTAACGTGTCATCTGCATAGCAGATAACGTGGCAGCCAGGGGGGAAGGGAGAGCAAAGCACCCGGTCGAACATGATTTTCTACAGCAGGGGATCGAGGACCGACCCCTGCGGAACACCATGCTCCATTTTTTTTGTTCACGCAGGGGAAATCCATCATGGATACCCCCGCCCCCTTGGGGAGGGGCGGGGGTTATGTCGGACTCTTACCAAAACCCCTGCGGGATGTCTACCTGTCGGACCGTGAGGAGGGGGAGTTAGGGGAACTGCTCCCGCATTCCCTCCCCAACCCCCCGGCCCCAGGGCTCTAATCCAAGAGCCCCTCGCCTTCTTGTACCGCACTCTCCCTCCCCCTCTCGGGGAATTAGTGCAGTCCCCGGCGGGTATCTCCGCCGGTTGGCCTTCTGGTGTCACCTTGGAGGAAGGGCACATCCACCCTTCCTCCTTATCCCCCCTTTCCTTAAGGGAGAGGGGAGGATTTTTGGGGAGGTGGGCCCGACCCCATTCGGGTTCCCCACCTCCTCTTTCCCCCCTTGTCCGATCATTCAAGGGAGCGGGAGGTGTCCTCCTCGCTCCCTTCTGAATGACGGAGCCTGGCCCGAGGTGGCCGAGGGAGGCGCCGACCCGTGTAGGCCGGCGCTCTCTCCTCGTCCGTTGCCACCTCGGGCCCGCTTCCGACTCCCCCTTCCCCCCCGGGGGAGCGCCGGCCCCGCCGTCCTCTCCGACGGCGTTTGCCAGGCCGGCGCCTCCACTCGGCGGCCTCCTTCCGGGAGATTACCTCCCCGCCTTGGCAGTCCGCTGTCCCGAGCAGGACCCGGCGCTGCTCCTCCCATGCCGCGCAAGCGGCCAGGGTGTGCAGCGCCGTGTCCTCTTGCTCGGGGCAGTGGTGGCACCTAGCGGTGGGCTCCTTCCTTATCCGGTGCAGGTATCTCCCAAAGCATCCGTGCCCGGTCAACACCTGCACCAGGTGGAAGAACATTCCACGCCCCCTCCTGTCCGTCATTTCCGACAGAGAGGGGCGGACAGCCTCTGCCGTTGCGAGACCGGACCCTCGGGGATCGGCTAGCAAGCCTTCCCACCGCTCCAGTGTCCGGTCTCTCGCCTGAGTCATCAGGGCCTTCAGGCCCCTGGCCGTCAGCTCTCCACCCTCGCGGAGCTCCTTTATCCGCCAGTAGAGGATTCTCCTCTCCTCGGCCAGGAGCTCCACAGGGGGGAGCCGGCCAGGGTGGTCGCCACCATGTATGACACGGTGCGGAACCCCCGAATCGCCCTGATCATAAGGGGCCTAAGGGCCTGCCTCATTTGCCGCTTGCCCACCGCAGTGGCCAGCAGCTGAGGAGCCCAGATAGGCGCCCCGTACAGGGCGACCGAGAGAACCGCACCGACATACAGGCGGCGAGCCTGCCATCCTGGGCCCCCTTGGGCACGCATCAGCCTGGCCACGGCCAGTCCGGCTTTGCGCACCCTGGGGGCCAGCTGCCTCAAATGTGGCCCGAATGACCACCGGCTGTCCAACGTCAGGCCGAGATATTTCATTGTCGGCCCGACGCGGACGTGGACGCCATCGACTAGGACCCGGGTCTCCGGCGGCGCCCGACGCCGGCCGTGAAAGAACACAGCCTGAGTCTTCTGGGGCACCAGCTTGAGACCAGGTCTCCGATGGTTCCCACCACCGATGCCACTACCACCTCCGCGCGGAAGCGGGCCTCCTCCCAGTTCTTCCCTTCGGCCACCACTAACGTGTCGTCTGCGTAGCAGACGACGTGGCAGCCATCGGGGAACGGAGTGCGAAGAACCCGGTCGAAGCCGATGTCTCATAGCAGGGGGCCGAGCACCGACCCCTGCGGGACACCGCGCTCCATGGTGCGCCAGCCTAGAACCCCGCCTTCCTTCGTGAAGGCAAGGTCTCTGTCCCCGAAGTAGGCGGATATTATCCATCGGAGATAGGCGGGCACCTCGAAGTGCTCAAGAGCCCGTCCTATCTCCGGCCAGGGCAGGGTGTTGAAGGCATTGGAAATGTCTAACGACATCGTCAGCAACACCCCGCCCCTTATCTCCACGACCGCCCGGGTCAAGTCCCGGACCCACTGGATTGCATCCAGCGTGGATCGTCCGGGCCTGAACCCGTATTGGCGGTCGTGGAGGTCCAGCCTACTCGAGGACATGTGCTGGACGAGGCGGTCGGCAATGATGCGCTTCAGCATCTTGCCCACCTCGCCCAGCAGGCATATCGGCCTGTAGGCTGACGCACTACCGGGCTCCTTGCCCTCCTTCGGGAAGAGGGCCAGTTTGGCCCTCCTCCACTCGGGGGGGAAGACCCCCTCCCTGAGGCATCCGGTCATGACCCTGCACGTGGCCGCGGACAGGTCCCCTTCGGCCAACCCAAGAGCCCAGGCGCGGTCCGAAATCGCGTCGGGGCCAGGGGCTTCGCCCCTGCCCCGAGCTTTCTCCGGGCCTTGGCGAGCTCTTCTGGAGTGACCTCCAGGCCCTCGTCCCAATCCCCCTCCCCCATCTCTGGGGAAGGGATCACTGGGGGCCCCCTTCCGCCTCCTTCCTGCTCCTTCTTCTTCTTTCTGCCTCCGCCTATCTTTTTATCCTCCATTTCGTCTTTCTCTCCTCCACTGTCAAATAATCCTCTATCCTTTCCCTCCTGCCTCTCAGTTTCTTCTTCGCCTCCATCACTTTCCTTTTTTTCCTCCAAACTACCTAACTTTACCATCCACTCCCCTTCTTTCTGCTCTTTCCCTAGCCTCTTCATTTCCCTCATTTCTACTTCTAACTCTATTCTCCGCCATACCTCCTTAACACCCTTCTCCAGCCCTTTCACCCCTATCTCTACCCCCCTTATCACCACGTTTTTTCTCCTCTCCTCCCTCTCCTTTTTATCTATCCTTATCTCCAACTCCCTTATCCTTCTTCCCCCCTCCTCCTCCATTCCTCCCTCTTTCATCCTCTCCTCCTCCTATTTCTCCCATCTCCCCAGCCTTTCCTCCATTTTCTTTATTTTTTCCTCCCCCTCCTTCCTCTCTCTCTTCCATTCCTTCCTATATCATGTATTTACATGATTGAATGTGTGACATTCTAAAATAGATAATAGGTAATTGATACTTGATGTTTACTGAGAAGTTGGCAGAGAAAGGCAAATTTATGCGTTAAATCTCGCTTTCCACTGTGTGAAAGACTTGTCATAGAAATATTGTGCAAATGCATGCATTATTGCAACTGTAAATGTAATACTGTAGCTGTAATTGTATTTGTGTATATTAATATCGCATTTTCTTCTTTGTTCGTATGCTTTGTTTAACGCTTGTGCGATATTACTGTTCCCTTTATATTTGTTTCTTTCTTTCCTTACATCCTATCATTCCTTATTAGGAAATATAAACCAATATCAAATAATTCCATTTTATAAGTGACTTATTCGACATTTGTTTATTATTTTCCCCTGATGGAAGAAACCACGACCTTCTCGCGATTTCCATCGAGCAGTAATATGGGCTTACATATTCTCTTTTAGTAATACCATTTATATACACGACACAGTACATCTTTTTAGGCACTGATTAGTTATTTAATTACTAATAATTACTTTATTAATAATTTTTCATTTTTCATGCATGCAGAATACCACTGCAATGTACTACATGCATAATGCATTTGCTTCATACTTTGGTATCGCCTGAATCACCGCATGAATCGGCAAGAAGAATGTTTACTCTTTCTCTCAATTGATTCTATCCACGTTGCTGGCAAAGAGTGGATTTCCTAAACTGTACGATATAACTGTACAATGTTTTTTCGTTCATTTACGGTGATTTTCCACAAACAATTCGTTAAACTTCGTGTCATTTTAATACAAACATAGTATTGTTATATTTTTATTGAATGGTGCACTCAACAACTCAGAGCGCTGCCAATGGTCCACTTGTTTCTTTTAAAGATTCATTGAATTAATAGTTACGCTGTTCGACACTGTATCGAAAATGCATGGGAAAACCATTTTGCAAACAAGTGAGTACATTCGAAAATATTATAATAAGCAAATAAATTACCTTTTCAGTAGACTGCATATTTATTAATGCACTGTACATCATTTTAAATATAACATTGCTCTGAGGGTTTTCTCATTCAGCGCGGCGAAACAGATATATTTTGTAAATTTTCTATTCGCGCAAATAGAAGATTTTACAGATGTAATTGTTTTTGGGAATTGTTTAATACTATATAAGGAATATTTGTTAATTTAGAGGATATTTCAGTGAAAACAAGAAGGTTCGATTTCGTACCTTCTTGACTCTGTTACAATACTTTTTTATATTTCATTCTACATCTTTGTATTACTTAAAATTATCCTTCAAATATTATTAAACAATCCCCAACAACAATCAAATCTATGAACCTGTCCACCTCCGCAAAACAATTAATGAAATATATTTCATTTTCTCGGTGCGGAATATTATTAACATTATTATTATAAATAATATTATTATTAATAATAAAATAATGTTATTCATAATAATTTCGGTGCGCTGAATAGGAAAACTTATCAGTATTGTCATAGTCGCGCCCGCGACTTATAAGAGATGGTTCCAAATCTGCGGTTACTGATTTTGATGAGCTTTGGGAAAAATGTAGTAGTATAGGTCTAGCAAAAGTTACTGTTAACCGGAGACGATGCAACACTCAAGCATTTGGGAGAAATTACAAATTGAAGTTTCGCGATTTTAAGTATGCTCCGTTAATCTAACATTTGCAAAGTTATTTCCAAATGACGGCGTAGGGCAGCAGACTAGACGCGGTGCTGGTACTCGCCAGGTTGCGTGTTTCCGCTTAGCTATATTTTGTTATTCTTTTTTAATTTATGTTTTTTTACTCTTACTTATAAAAATATATATATTACAGAAGAATAGGAATATAAATTCATCATGCAAATAACCTTTTCTATGTTTTATAAAGGAGAATTCTCGCATTATAATTTTGTTACGTCCTGGAGGAGGAACGTAACTTGACGCTTGCTTTCGCAAGCTCCGACATACTCGCAAGTCTGCGGTGCAGGTCAAGGACCGAAATGACCCCTTTATCTGGCGCGGACGTACGTCGGTAGTCCTTTATTTGGGTCAAGGAACTGAATCCTTTTACCTGGGATAGAACCGTGAGCGACGGTTGAGGGAAGGGAGAATTTTTTGGTTGAGAATAATTATTTAGAAAACGTGATTGGCTTACAATTACAAATAACTTGGTTTATTAGTGATTAGACGGATGTTCACAATGAAATAAAATTTATAGGCTTTTATAATGTGTACGTATACATGTGTGACTAACAATCGCGCTCAGAACAATGATTCTTGATTACTCAGAACAATATTCCGATAGAGGAAGGTCTAGTGACGGAGAGGCACGAGGTGAGGGGGAAGATCGCGATGAGGATACTTCTGAGGGAGAGGGAGAACGAATAGGTATGAGGCCATGGAGTAAGGCCGCGTGGAAGCCTTGCGTGCCTCCTCGTAAAGGAGAGGTTAAAGGGGAAGATATCGGGGATGGGCTCCAAGGTAGAGGAGAGCTTGTGGCAGAACGGTCATTTACTGGACTCAAGGATGTTGGAGAGTACGAGATAGGAGTTATTGGGGGAGAGTCAGGAAGGAACATGAGAGGAGAACGCGCAGATCTTAAAATTTGATTCGTGATTTGATCTTGAAGTTTGATTCGTTATGGCGAATAACGTAATCTGGACGATCTTGTAATACAAATACTAAAGAGGCGACCTCAAAATCCTCGCGGTTTGCACAATTTTCCGTGGTAGTTATCTCTGACTGTGATTGAGAAGATTGAGCCACTGAAATCGGATTTCACAATTAAGGAGGAATGCCAAGGGGGATAGGGTAAAGAAAGAAAAAGGAAGGAAAAGAAAAGAGAGAGAAGAAAAGATAAAAAATAAAAAGAAAGGGGTAAAAGGGGGGGTCTCTGGCAAAAGAAAATATAAATAACTTACTGCTGGTTCTATGAGGTTAGTCGACAATGAAAAATGTAATTGCTGCGTGTCTGTGAGGATGGACCCAAGTTTTGCGCCAAGAACAGGAAACTGATTTCAGCAGGATTGCTCGCAATGCCCCAAGAACGCACGAGATCGTTGCACAGAATAATTAACAACTGAAGAACTCTGATCTGCCTAAGTCACTAGTAGGCTTGGTTATTAAGAGACCCTAAAGGGGTGCTGAAGAGAAGATTCTGTCCTGGCTGCGGGTCGGTCGAGAGGAGAAGTCGAAGTGGCATAGCCTTTTCATTTTACTAAAAACGTCACTTCGGTCGAGAGGGTTTTGGAAGTTGCGTCAGGTTCCAAAGTTTATGTCCAAATATGGGTATAGGATTTTGTTGCAAAACTTTTTGGAAGTGGGGTTTTAGAGAGGCCTGAGGTAAATATGGTAAAAGATCGGATATCTATGGCAGTAAAAGACTTCAAGGTTTCGCTAGGGTTAGTCAGAGATTGCGCGCAATAAAAATGTATGAATAACGTGGGAAACGCATGAGTTTCCGAAGATCAAAGGTTAGTAATATCATATAACAGCATGAAAGATTGTCTCGTCGGTCCGTCTTCAAAGAAAATTGTTGCTCTGAACAGGAAGTTATTCAAGGTTATTTGGAGAGGAGATATATGGCTAAAATAACTCGGCGGATCTTTCTGACGGAAATAGGGAAACTCCGGTAATTAAAGCAGAGAGAAAAAAAAGAGAAATCTGTATATGTGACGTCACTGTTCTCGGAGGGTCGCGGAACATGAACATTTGGTCGTATAATATAAAATCCAATCCTCCCTATTTGATAACGAATTTAGGGTACGTGGAGTCCACAGGACGTAACAATTTTTATATATTATATTTTCATATATTATGTTATACAGGGTCATCGAAAAGTATCGGACCCCCCTAATATCTTCAGTTAGAATGCATTTTGGAGAAAATCAATAGCAAAGTTGTATGGTTTCAAGCGGGAAGTAAGATGATGATCTTGACTTTGACCTTGACCATGTCCTTCAAGGTCATTTCAAGGTCAACCTTATTTTTTTCAATGGAACCCCCAACATTTTATTACATATTCTTATAGCTTATCTCGAGAGCTTTCCAAAACACTGTAATGAAACATTTTTTCATTGAGTACTTTTTGAGTTATAAAGGTTTGAAGTTAACAATTTTTTGACACAAAATGTAAAATATCTTGTAAAATATTATTTAGTTTTCAGTAATCATAACCTTAATACTTTTATGCGCGAAATAATGAGACCAATTAATTGGTTTGAAGAAAATACATTAATCGAAAAGTATCGGCTCCCTCTAATATGTTCAGTAAGAATGCATTTTGGAAAAATGTCCAATAGCAAAGTTGTACGGCTTCAAGCAGTTATGCTAGTAGGCTATGGCGGAAAACTGCCCGAAGGCATTAGCGAGAATCTGCCCGAAAGCGTTGGCAGGGCCGATCTTTATTGTCTCACTCTCGCAGGCACCAATAGTAATACAAGCTCTTGAGCAAACAATGCGGATCACTGATTTGAATCTTTGATGCAGTGCTGTCTTCTTCTTAGCGAGCAGCAGTCACCTCGTGGACGAAAACGAACAGCCCCAAAAATTGTTTCTGTAACAAAAGAAGCCATTGCGCTTCAATTGATTGTCCCAAACATCTTCATTTTGTTTCCAATAGCCCAGAATTTTTTCGTAAATATTATTAATTGATCTATTAGATTTTCAGTTGCTCAACGAGCTCTTTGCTAGTGCTGGTTGAAATAAACCAATCGATAGTTGGACCAACACTTAATAATTAGTATTTTTTTCTATTTAATTATTTAGATCAATTTCCTATTACTTACCTGATTAATTCTTCTTTGCTCTAATTAAGAATGACGGAGCTTTTTGAAAGAGATCGAATAACACTGTTAATGATGCGAGGATGGGGAGATCAACAAAGAGGGTCTAAAACAGTAACGCGATTATTTAATATAAATTTTCGGAATGAAAATAATAGGATCTCCAAAAGTACTGTAATCCATACTATTCAATCTTTCGAGGACATTGGTAGCGTTAAAAGCCGCCCAAGATCTGGTAGACGTAAAACAGCAACAAATAATGATAAGGCATTAGATGTTTTACAGTCTTTCGTTGAAAGTTCCCACATTTATATCAATCGCGTTGCACAAGAACACGAAATCGGTTATGCATCTGTCAGTAAAATTCTGAAATTGAATAAATGGCATCCATACAAACTCCATTTGGTCCAAGAGTTGTCCGAAGACGATTTTGATAGACGCATCGAATTTTGTGATCTTATGATGGAGATGATTGTCGACGATCCTCTATTACTTAATAATATTGTTTTCTCTGATGAGTCAACATTTGAACTGACTGGAAATGTAAATGTGGGGACTTTCAACGAAAGACTGTAAAACATCTAATGCCTTATCATTATTTGGGTTGGCAAATAAGTTCGTTCGGTTTTTGTTTCAGTGTAAGTTTCATGCAGATTCGCTGTTCTTTTCTCAGCGCTATCGTGCAAATCGAATACACATTTGAAAGACTATGTTTCACTGTTTATGTTGTGCTGTGTTTGGTTTGGCTAACATCAGTATTGTGTGTGCTGCGTAGCTGTGAACATGGAAATAAATAACGTGCATTATCGTCACATTTTGCTCTATTATTTTAAAAAAGGCAAACGAGCTGTGGATGTTCATAAAAAGATATACCGTGTGTGTGGAGATGATGCCTTAATAGAACACGTATGCCAAAAGTGGTATGCCAATTTCCGTTCTGGAGATTTCGACGTCAATGATGCGCCCCGCTCCGATCGCCCGACCGAAATTAATTCAAGTGACATTAAGGCTATAATCGAAGTAAATCCATCCCAATCGGTACAAGAGATTGCTACGACATTGAATATATCCCACACAAGCGTAGAAAAGCATTTGCGCCAGCTGGGATACGTTTCTCGGCTTAATGTTTAGGTGCCGCATCAATTAACCGAGGCTAATTTGACCACACGCATATCCATCTGCGATTCGCTATGGAAATGCCAAGAAAATTATCCATTTTTGAAACGAATGATGACTGGTGACGAAAATTTGGTCGTCTATGATAATGTAACGCGTAAAAGATCATGGGGGCACAGCAGCGAGCCACCGCAAACAACTTCGAAGGCGGGACTGCATCCGAAGAAAATAATGCTCTCCGTATGATGGGATTTCAAGGATGTCACCTATTATGAACTGTTACCGTCAGGCAAAACGAAAACGATTGATTCAACTGTATACTGTTCGCAATTGACGAAATTGAACTAAGCAATCCGCACAAAACGTCCAGAACTGGCAAATCGCAAGGGTGTCGTCTTCCACCACGATAACGCTAGATTTCATACGTCATTGGCCACTCGGAGAACAAATTGCTTCAGCTTAGTTGGGATGTTTTACCTCATCCTCCGTATTCACCAGATCTTGCTCCTCCCGATTATCATTTATTCCGGTCGCTGCAGAACTGTATGAACGGGAAAACCTTCAAAGATGAAGAGGCCGTTAAAAACCATTTGGATTGGTTTTTCGCCGATAAGCCTCAGACGTTTTACGAACGCGGCATAATGAAGTTGGTGAAAAGATGGCTAGAGGTCATCGATAAAGATGGCCAATATATAATTGATTAAAATTTATCTTATGTATAAAAAAATTGTGTTTTATTCTACTCTAAAAAACCGAACGAACTTATTTGCCAACCCAATATAAGGTAAAAAAGTTATTTTGCAATTTGTAGCATATATATATACTTACAATTAACGAAGTTACAAAAAGAAAAATATCTGTAAATTACATACATTTCATATTTCCTCATAATGAAAGACAGGAAATTGTTGCAATTAAACCATATTTATTTGAATAATTATTAGAATAGTAAATGTAAATACAGTAGAGAACGTTTTTAGCAGGCCAATTATTCAGCAATGTTTTACACGAACTGTAGCGTTATCTCTTTTCCTCTGGAACATATGCACTGTTCAAGATATATACGCAATGAGAGAACATAAAAGATTCGATAACGATAAAAAGATTCGATAATGATAATAATATCAATAATTCGATGAAATAATAACAATCTGATGGTGAATGCACGATAGCATTACCGTTAAAATAATTAAAAGTATCATAAACATACTGTAAAAAGATAATTCACGTTACTACAAATTCGGAAACCGTTAAAATTTTTTTTCTCGCTTTTTCTTCTACTTTATACATACATGTAAATAACATCGTGATGTCGTTCAACCGTTTAAAACAACGAAAATTCTAACAATTTGCATATAACTTGAAAATGCATTTACAGCTCTTTGTATCCAGTTCTGTTCGTGTACGTGTAGTATATGTATGTCACGTGTATTACGTGTATGTACGCGTGTTCCTGCGTGTAGGGTAAATGATTATTCTTCTCATTACGTATGCGGACGTTAATAAGTTTCTCGTCCGTTTGCGTATGCGTCCGACAAGTGTGTTGGTTGTTGCTGCTGTTTTTAAATGGCATCGATATCAAAGTCATCGTCGGAGTTATCATCGTTGGCGGCAGCGGGCTTTTGCGCAGGCGGTGGTTGTTTCTGCTGTTTCAAAGATTGCTGCTTGGCTCTATCATCATACTCAATCTGTAAAAACAGTATAGTATTATACCAATCACATATCAATTCTAAAATAATCGATAAAATAAACATAAATAATCAAATGTCGATTATTTATAATATATTATATCCGAGCCACGAGGTTTGTGGCAGCGTCCGTTGTCCGCGAGTCTCAGGCATCTGATCGATTGAACAACTGAAGAAAGATTGTCTGGACGACGGAATCAATCAATAAGAGAGAGATCAGCTGAAAGAGAAGCGTTGACAGCGTTCTTAAGAATTTGCGCGAAAACCTGAGCTTTTGTATATTTGAAAAGAGTTCTGTTATTATAAAATAGTAAATAGTTCTTCCTAAACGAATCATAATTACACTGCTCAAAAGAATTATAGCATAGATAATTTATTGCCGAAAATTGGCCAACTTTGACTGGCGATTATCTCGCGAAAAATTATTGTAGACTAATCATTTTTTTTTTCAAAATGAAGCTTGAAGTCTCTACTTTAAGAATGTATCTCCATTTTTTGCATGCGGTGCACTCCTACCCCTGTAACCCCTGACATCTGAGGGCATGTTTGGTATACTGAAAATTGCAAAGTTTGACGGAATGCACGGACGTGGACAATGTTTTTCGGGCACGCCGTTTGCATCGTCATAAAGTTCAAATCTTCCCCTTCAATTTGAAAAAAAAAAATGGAGTCGTTACAATTTTTTTTTCGTAAAGTTACAGCCCTTCAAAAATATCGTTGCTTTTGACCTTCGGGTCAAGTATCGGTCGGCGGATTAAATGACTGGAAATCATAGTAGAGCAACGGCAAAAGTGTTTTTTGACATACGCACGCAAGCACGCGTGCATGTTTTTCAGCTCCTGGCTCGTATTTCGACCACAGCCAACATTCCTAGCATCTGCCTAGATTTGAATTCCATAGAACATGTATGGGACATAATGGGTCGTAGATTAAGAAATTTGGCAAAATAACTTATCAATTTGAATGACCTATCGCAGATCCTGGTTCAAATGTGGAATGACATTTCGCAGGAAGAAATTAGGGCCTATTAACATGAGGGACCGGCTGCAAGAAGTGATCCGAAAGCGTGGAGGAAACACGAGATATTGAAGACGCACCTACACGCACGCACGCACGCACGCACGCACGCACCCACCCACGTACACAGAAGGGACGATTTGGAGTCAATAATTACTGTGGAAGTGACGAACCACGGGGTTCTTATCTTTTCTGTCACGGACACACACACACACACACATTGCACACTTGGCTCGAAGGCTAAAAACAACGATATTTTTGAAGAGCTGTAACTTTGCAAAAAAAATTATAGCGACTCCATTGTTTTTTCAAATTGAAGAGAAAGATTTGAACTTTATGACGATGCAAACGGCGTTTCCGAAAAACATTGTCCACGTCCGTGCATTCCGTCAAACTTTGCAATTTTCAGTATACCAAACATGCCCTCAAATATCAGGGGTTACAGGGGTAGGGGTATACTGCATGCAAAAAATGGAGATGTATTCTTAAAGTAGAGACTTCAAGCTTCATTTTGAAAAAAAAAAAAAAAAAATGATTAATCTACAATAATTTTTCACGAAATAATCGCCAGTCAAAGTTGGCCAATTTTCGGCAATAAATAATCTATGTCATAATTCTTTTGAGCAGTGCATTTCCATGAACCCGGTATGCGCGAGTCGGTCGCACGTAACAATATTTATTTATTATTTATTATTATTACTTATTATATTTGTTATATTATTTATTATATTTATATTGTATTATGTATATATTTATTATTTATTTACAACAAGGTTGGGAGGTAACGTGTTATTTGTAACAACGCTATCTCTACAAGTTACTTTTCTTTAGTTCTTTCAACTTAGAAACAGTATTATCATCATTCAAAGATAATGGTGAGTAATAAAATTTTAGTCTAATCGTAACGAATTATTTATTTTTCTCACTATTTTAAACTGCATTTATAAAACTGTATCTATATTGAATTGACGGTAGAGAATAAAAAAAATAAAATAATAAAAAAAATAAGAAACTTCAAAACATGGTGAAAGAAAGTAATGAAAATTGTAATGCTTCATTATCTGTTGAGTAATAGAGTAACGGAGATAACGATAACAAACCATTTTTCAACATGCGTCACAGTAATGACAACAAATTACTTTTAAAAAGTAACTTTTCCCAATCTTGCAGCTGATCGCAATGATCGAAGAAATAGTGGATGTGATAACTCATGCATTATTTCAGCAGAATTAAATGAAATTACACGAAATGAATGACGTAAAAAGAAAAAAAATAATTTTCCAATTTTGTCCCTAGAAAACAGTTGACAATGAGACAATGATTAATTAAACGGTTCACTGCCATTGGAATATTTCTTTAAACTAATCGTAGAAATATATCTCAATAATTCAACGTTTACACAATCGCTGTGTTTTCTGAATGTACCCTTTCTCAAACCTGTGAGAAGTAACGTTTCATCTATCAAACTAATCTTTTACTAAATTATTTATTTGATAAACTTTTTCACTTAATTTTTTGGCAACAAACGACGGCGTACAAAGTTGTTATGAGGCGCATCAAAAGGACATATCACATCACTTTCATATATCATTGACATACATCATCAAAATAAAAATAATAGTGTAAAAGTGTAAGATTATTAGTTAATATGAATATTAAACAGCTAGTATATAAATAAAGTCATAAATAATATATTTAAGTAAGCTTATATCCGACTCACTTCCAAATCAGATTCAGACTCAGACTCCTCCTCCTCGGCGACTTTCAACCACGTCAGGAAGGGCACGGCTCTATCATGAATTTCTTGAGACAGATCCTTCGAAACATACTTTTTGCTAACTTTGCTTGACCATTCATCGAATGCCTTCTCCTCTAGGATATCGGAGTCGTAGAATAACTATAAGTATAAATTATATACAAAGTATATACAAACTATAAGTACAAATTATGTATAAAATATGTATAAAAGAATTATAAGTACTAATTATGAATTTATAAATTTGTTTTCATATTGGCTTTTGACAGCCAACATAACTGTATGTAAACTACTTCATGACTATGCTATTAATATAACGTCGTTATCTTTCACAAAAGTCTAAAAAACAGCTTTTCCTTAATGAAAACATCGAAAGGTATTATTTATTAATAAACTCGTATGCACAACTGATATATTGTTTTAAACTCTTTTTTTCCAATTAGAAACGCATCAAAAAGCCACAATTACGAATCATTGTTTAAGGGCCTGTCCAATAATTGATTATGATAAGAGCCGAGAAAAAACAGTATACAGTGAGAAAGTTTAATCAAGCTAACGAAACAACATGTTAATCCATTTGATTAGAATAATATTTCCTAAATATAGTGCGTTCAAATATACACCATGAAAGAAGGAGGGCGTACTAAGTAGCGATGGGATGTCGTGCGTTCGGGACCTGCATCTTATTTTCGTTCCGAAGAGAGAAAAATATCGAGAGCGCGGTAGTCGCTAGACCGGGAATCAAATCCGGGTCTTTCGCTTACCGGGTGACTGCTCTAAACCACTGAGCTACCTGACGCTCCACGCTCATGACATTCTTCTCTTCCTAGATAACGTTAAGAGATGTCGTTCGGAAGCGATATCTCTAGTGCTATCCCGAGCGCACGGCGACTATTGAGAGAGGCATTGTTACTTGTACCTGTGGTACAAGTTGGGCGGTCTCTCAAAGTCAAAGGTTGCTATCCTTTAAGACCTGCTGTCCATGTATGCCGGCCTCCACCGTTGCCTCTCCTTATCCGGTGCAAATCATATAAATAAGCCCCGGGGTCGACGCCATATTTTGGCTGCCCCCAGGCGCTTGGACACGTTTTTGCATATTTGCACAAACTTAAAGTTGTGAAACGTGCAAATTGTTCATTACAAAACATGATCTTATTGATTACTTGATATTATTTCATAAAAATAAAAAAAATCTTTAGGAAAATTCTACAGGATTGCAGATAAAATAGATAAATCGAATTCAAACGTATACTTTTTTTTTTAGTCAAAATAATAGGGTAATGTTAACTTCAATGCGTTAAGATATCGTTTCCTAAACGTAATGTTTTTGCAAATTAAATATGCATTTTGTGTGTTAATCAAATTAAATATGCATTTTGTGTGTTAATCATAAACCTGAAGTTGTGAAACATGCAAGCTGTTCGTCACAAAACCTGATTTATTTTGTAACAATAAAATCCTTAACATTTTGATGACCGCTGTTGCGTGATTTCGCGTACACAGCGGTTATCAACCAATGTCATCATAGGCGTGATCTCGCTCTGCTATCGGCCGGCATCACATATACATGACTTCACTTATTCTTTTAATTTACACGGTACTAAAATGTTAAACAAATAATTCCTGTTGTTGATGCTTATCTCCTCATGCTTTTCAACTATTCCTCTACTCCTCCATTTCAATTTTTACAGTTTGTCAATTGTTTAAACTCAGACAATTCACAGACACCATTTATAATTCAGATAGTTCAGATTGAAATAAGATTTCGCTTTTTTTACAGCATAGTATCTAGAATTAGCCAGTCATTATCTTTTAACAAAATATTTTATATTAGTTTTAATAACGATAATAGATTCAATACATTTTTTTTAATGTATCATAATTACACTATAATAAACTGCGCGAAAAGTGCCAACAGCAGGCGATATGATCTAAGACAATCTCTGGCGATAAGTAGGAAGCTATATATAAAATATGCGGTCTTTAAAGCATAGTCTGTGTCGCGTGGGTCGTCCATAAGTGTTAAGTTAAACTTTCTGTTCAAGCTGTTTGAGATTTTCGTCATTAAAATATAACCTACCGTTGGAAAATATGTTGGAACATATCATGTCTTAATGCCGCAATATCATACATATTGCAGTTATAACTTCTGTTTTTTATCAGGTTGGTCAGAAAGTCTTTCCGTATTTTATGCAGAAAGGAAAAATTGTTTCTGACGAAAAGTGAAAGCGTTTTAATCGTCAATATGATCTCTGCCTCGCTTAAGGGGGGAACCTGGTTTATAAGGTCAAGATTTTCGAATTTTTTTTTGCTTAATCGATAGTTAAACTATTCAAGAATATATTTTCAAAGTTTCAGAGCCCAATTCAAAGTATTTTAAAAGTTATAGAATACATGGTGAGTCAGCGTCGCGCAAGTATACGAGCGCTCGGCCGGAGTGGGCCGCGCGCTCACCCGATACAGATATGTACTATATGCCGGCACGATATTTGATTACACATTCCTATAGATTGTCATGTAGGCGTATGAGTGTATGCGTGTCTATGTGTGTGTGTGTACGTGTGTATAGTTTATAGTTTCAACGATCAGTCTTGCTCTGATTCTCGACGAGTAAAGAGTTTCTATTTAGCAAAAGTCGTTTGACAGTTTTAAATATGTATTCAAAAGGCTCAAGAAGTACTTCGCAGCGCATTTCGAAACCGCCGAAAAGAAGATTTCGTGGCAACCAGCATTCCAAGAATGAAAGTGGTAATTTAGACGAGAGCATCAGTGCGAAAAAATTAAGTACAGTGAGTACTGATAATATTATTGTGAATCCATTACATTATTATAGAATCATAGAAAAAAAAAAACTTATAAGTCCATTTTGACTTTGACTTCGCCGTATGGCGAAGATTGCTCCGTAAAAAAAGTGAGTGCGTCGGACACGTTCAGAAACAGATGAGGACGCGGCTTCGAAATATAAAAAAAAAAGGAGAAGCTTGGCGGCAAGGGGAGATTGACCGATCTCGTCATAAAAAAATTAACCACTTACTACGGTTTAGCCATAAGACGAAATGTAGATTCTGTGGGTGATATGAAAAAAAGCATAATGGCAACACTCTACCACTATTGCTCGACCGATGAAAAGCCGAAACATGGAAATTGCCCCGCAGGCGCCGACAGTTGGTGCGAGTGGCGCAAAGCTGAAGCCGCCGGTTAACTCGTAAACATCCTGCTTCAGTTATAAAGCCTGATATTGAGAAACACCTTACTTCGATCTATGAAGATCTTTCCAATGAAGATCTTTTGACTAGATGTTTAGGCGGGCACACACAAAATTCCAACGAATCCTTCAATTCGACTATGTGGCATATCGCTCCCAAACCACACCTCAATTCGGGCTCTAAAATTGTTCAAATCGTTGCATATTTGGCTACTGGCATCTTTAATGAAGACTACACTGCCATTTTATTAACAATGCAGTTATTAAAAATCAATATCGGCCAGCAATGCAAAATGTTCGCTGATAATTACGATGCGCAGCGAGTTACGAGAGGGGAGCGGCGCCGAAGCAGCACGACCAAGGAAGCTCGCACAGCTCGTAGACTGGAGCAAATGCAACGAAACGAGTTTTATGAAGAAGCTGAAGGCTTGCAGTATGGCCCTGGTATAGCTGATTAGCATAAGATTACGGTAAGTCTCCAATAAATGATATTTTTTTGTACCACAAACTTTAAACACGTTTTTCTCGAAATATAATTTCCGTACTTTCTTAAAATCTGCGGGAAAGATAGAGAAAAAACTAATTGATCAATCGACTTGATTCAAAGTGCGTTAGCTAGAGAATGAACAACCATTCTATGTGAACCTCAAACATTGGTAAAAATATTAATTTAAATAATTGTTATTGCATAAAAACGGAGGAAATTTTTTCTTAAAAATGTCATTTTTTTGTTCAAATGCTAAAAAGTTTTGTATTTTACGGTTTTTTAACCATGTTGTTGGTTCACATAGAATAAAAATATATGAAAATTAATAATCTTTTTGGTTTTTTTGTTTCAGATCAAAATTGCAGGCTACATTTTTCCCGCAGATTGGCAACTCGGTTGGCGAGGCGCTCTGGTTAGAGATATACCATGGCGCCATTTTGCAATTATTTTACAACATAAAAATTTTTTTTACATCTTCAAATAGGCAGTTAAATATTATAAAAGTTTTAGGAACCTCAACTGCATCATTGTCAATAAAAAAATTCATAAAAATCTTTTTTTTAGCCTCTTAAACTAGGTTCCCCCCTTAATGAACCTTCTCTCATCGATTTACAAGCTTGAAAATTTCGTCCTTGAAGAAGACACTAGTTCTCGAATTTAAAAAAGATCCAACTCTCTTTGTTCGCTGAATTGAATTCTTTTCCGTTAAGAAAATTTTGTAGGTGTCTAAAAAGATGATAGTCGGATGTTGCGAGATCAAAAGAGTATGATGGGTGTTCAAGAAGTTCTCGATTAAACTTTCTGATTTTTCTCAATGTAAGTGCATGGGGACAAGCGTTCTGGTGGAAAAGAATATCTTTACGGTTGACAAATTGAGGCCAGAGTTCTTTGAGTTTTGTCTGAATTCTTTCCAATTGTTGACAATAAAAGTCCATATTGATCGTTTGCTTTCTTGGTAGGAGCTCACAGTAGACAATTCCGCGCACATCCTACCATATAACATTTAACATAATCTCCTGCCGGTGGATGCTCCACTTTGGAAACCTCTACGCTGAATTTCCGGGCTCACAACAATTTCGTTTCTGTATCATATTATCACAAAAAAATCTATTTTTCGTCGTATATAATCAATTGATCAAGAAAAGATTTGTTACGATGCAAAAAGAGATTAAGCAGTATAACGCACTTGGAGATGCAGTCAAATTTGTTCCTCTGGTTCAATGCATGCGACACTCATTTGTTCAATTTTGAAACAAAGCCAAATTGGTAAAAGCTGTTGATAATCGTTCCGTAAGTTGCCTGAATTCTGCCTTGTGCTTGTAAGTGGTAATATTCGGAGGATTTTTTTGATTCTGCTTCGAAACGTTCTTTGTCGATGACTGAAGATCTTCCGGACCTGTGTTCGTCTTCCAGATTAAAATCACCATTTTGAAATTTTTCAAATTAAAA